ATTCCCCATCTTGCAAATGGAAGGGCCACCGTCATTGGAGTGTAGAAAGTGGCAGGCCGTCCGGGAACCGGTGCGTATAATTGGCATACCTTACATTTCCTGGTATGCGTGAAGCAGTCCTGTTGGATAGTTGGCCAATAATATCCTTGCAAGATGATTTTTCTGGCCAGCGTCTTGGGCCCTTGGTGACTGGAACAGATACCTTCATGAATCTCTTCCATTACAGCTGCCGCTAGATCGGGTGGGAGGCATTTCAGATACGGTCCCCCAAATGTCTTTTTGTACAGCTGCCCGTCCACCAACTCGAACATGGAAGCCCTCCTCTGGATGCATTTTGTTTGATAAGCAGGATTTTTATCTTGCGGGAGGGTTCCGTCTTTTAGGTAGTTGGTCATATCCACGACCCAGCTCGGGATGGCATAAGATATGGCCTCGATCTGGAGAACCATTATCGCTGGGGTTGCCAATGTTTCCCGATGGGCAAAACGTTGGATATGAGCCGGGATCTCCTGTGCCCGATCGTCGAACGCTGCATGTTCTAATTTGGATAGGATATCGGCTTCAGTATTTTCGATTCTGGATATCTGGTCGAGCACCACCTGTTCAAACTTATATATCTGCTCCTCGACCATTTCCTTGTATGCCTTCATCCTTTCTTCTTTGGCCTCAGCCGTGCCGTTCACTTGATGTACCACCAGTTGACTGTCCGATCTCACTTTTAACCGATCGGCGCCCAGGGCCTTTGCATACTTTAAACCAGCAATGAGAGCCTCATATTCAGCCTCATTGTTGGTCACCTTGAAATCAAAATGAATGGAATAATACGCTTTGAACCCCTCGGGCGATGTGATCACAGCTCCAGCTCCACAACCTTTAGCACTAGATGCTCCATCCACGTACATTTCCCACCAATTATCCAGCCCGTTGTTCTCTGAATCTTTTTCTGAGGGCCGGGCGGTACATTCTGCAATGAAATCTGCCAGGGCCTGCCCTTTGATAGTAGGCCGGGGTTTGAAATCTACCTCGTACTGCCCGATCAGGAGACTCCACTTGGTAATGCGCCCACTTGCCATAGGATTTCTCAAGATGGTGGATAATGGTTGGGTAGTATATACAGTTACCGGGTGGGTTTGGAAATACGGGGCCAGGTGTTTAATGGCAGCTATTAGGGCCAGTATATTCTTTTCTAGCAAGGTGTACCTGGTTTCCGGGCCGTTCAACACCTTGCTCACAAAATAGATTGGCCGTTGAATGCCATCTTCCTCTTTCAGCAGAACCGTGCTTACGGCCAAGTCGGCTACAGCCAGGTACATATACAAATGTTCCCCTGGTTCGGGCTTTGTCAAGACCAGGGGGGAAGACAGATATGTCTTGAAATCCTCAAAGGCCGTTTGGCATTCGGCCGTCCACTCGAAAGAGTTGGCTTTCTTCATGATTTGGAAAAACGGAATAGCTCGATCGGCCATTTTTGATAGGAATCTGCTCAGGGCTGCTAGCCGACCGGTCAATCTCTGTACTTCCTTGAGATTCCTCGGGGGCTCCATGTCCACAATGGCCTTTACCTTTCTGGATTGGGCTCAATCCCCTTCTCGCTCATCATGTACCCCAAAAATTTGCCTCCTCTTACAGCAAACGCGCATTTCTTGGGATTGAGCCTCATATTCGCCCTTTGCATTATCCCGAACACCTTTTCTATGTCCAGGACATGGTTTTCCTTCTTTTTGCTCTTGATCAGGATGTCATCAATGTAGGCTTCCATTGTGACACCCAGTACATCTTTAAACAACATCCCGATCATCCTCTGGAAGGTTGCCATCGCGTTCTTTAATCCGAATGGCATGACGATGTAGCAGAACACGCCATCCGAAGTAACAAACGCCGTTTTCTCTGCATCGGCCGGGTGCATGAATATCTGATGATAACCTCGGAAAGCATCCATGAAGCTCAGTAACTCGCACCCAGCAGTCTCATCCACTAGCAGATCGATCCTCGGCACTGGGTAGGGATCCATGGGGCATGCTTTATTGAGATCGGAGTAATCCACGCACATTCTCCAGGTAGATTGCTTTGGGGCTAGAACCACATTGGATAGCCATTCTACGTGGATTACCGGACGGATATGCTTTATCCTTAGCAAAGTGGCCACTTCCTTCTTGGTGAATTCCCGCCGTTCGGTCGCTTGATATCGTTTCTTCTGTTGGACCGGTTTTGCATCAGACCGAACGGCAAATTTGTGGCATATTATTTCTGGATCAATGCCGGGCATATCTTCTGGCCCCCGGGCAAATAGCACCTGAAACTTTTTGAGGGCGGCAATCACGCCATCCCGGATATCTGCCTCCAGATCTACCCCGATAGCGACCTTACGGTTCGGGGGAAAGTCGAGGTCGATTTGTTCAAGAAGGGTGGCAGGCTCCGGATGTGCCTCGAACTCCGTTCGGTGGGTTTCCATCTCAATTGTATTCACCCGCATCCCACGAGTGTTCATCTGTTTCAGGGCCTCCCGATAACATGTCCGGGCTGTTGTTGGGTCAGTTCTGGCCACCCCTACCCCAGTGTCTGTGGGGAATTTGATGCATGAGTGGCGGACAGAGGCTATTGCCTCCAGATCTTCCAATCCCGGTCGGCCCAAAATGGCATTATGGGCGCACTTTATGTCTACCACCACGAACGTCATTCAGAGTGACGCTCTGTGGGTTTCATCTCCAATTTCAACCATCAATTGGATGGTCCCTTCCGCCTCGATGCAGTTACCGGTAAAACTCAGTGGAGTCCGCAGGTGGGTCAGGTTGCTCCTTTGCAGACCCATTTTCTCGAATGATTGTAGATACAATACATTCACACTGCTCCCAGTGTCGACCAGCACTCGGCGGATTAAAGCATTGTCAATACACATGTTTACTACCAGTTCATCCCTGTGGGGGCTTGGAGAGTTGGGTAGATCAGCTGGCCCGAACGTGATCGGGTCTGTCCTTCCTTTCTTCTGGGGGGGAGCGGAGACGGACCCCACATAAAGACTCCGCTAGAAAACCTTTTCCGTTCGGCGTTCGAATCACCGGTCTCTCCGCCCCCAAATATGACCTTGACCTCCATTCGAGGATTCTTTCCGGGGCCTCCCGAGCCCTCTGGCTCATCTCTGGGAGGAACATACACATCATTCTGAGGCTGGGCGTCACGTTGAGCATCCCGGCGCCAGCTGTTAGGTTTCCTGGCCGGTTTTAACGTGCCCATTGCATTCGGATCTTTGCTCACATATTTGCCCAGATGGCCCCTTCGGATCAGATCCTCAATTGCTGTTTGCAGGGCCCTGCAGGCATTGGTGGCATGACCCTTTCTGTTGTGATATTTACAGAAAGCATTGTCATCCGTTCCCATGAATTGTCCAGAATCAGTCGGGATGGGAATATTGTCCCTCTCGTTCTGATAGATGGCCGCTATTGATAGGACCAGGGGTGTAAATCTCCCTTGTTTGGGAGGTAAAGTGGCCGCTGGGCTAGGACCCAGCCGATCAGCCAGTCTGATCGGGGCAGCAGGCGTAATGACCTTATCCCTGATCATTATTTCTTCTTCTAGGGCGGCATGCTTGCGCGCCCTATCTAATACTTCGGCGTACGCCGTGCCCGGATTCTTCTTCAATTCTTTGTACAACTCCCCCGTTCGGAGAGCATTCGTGAACAGGGTGATGGCGGTATCATCCGTCATGCTTCCCACTGTTAAAGTTTCATCCCTCCACCTTTTCAGGAATTGGTTGAGGGTCTCCTTGGCGTTTTGCTTCACGCTGGTCAGATAGCTGAAGTGCCGTTTGGGATTGGCACTGGAAGCAAATTGAGCCAAGAATAACGTTGATAACTCGGTAAAGCTATTGATTGACCCGGGCTGTAGTGTCCCGAACCATTCCTGGGCAGGCCCCCTGAGCGTGCTGAAAAACAAACGGCAAATGGCAGCCTCGGGCGCTCCTAGCAGCATAAGTCCGCCTTGGTAACTCCTCAGATGTACGTGGGGATCTCCCACCCCATCATATATTTGGCCGGTCGGGGGCTTGGCACCCCCTTGGATATCCGCGTACATGAGCTCCCTTGTAAACGGGGAAGTAATCCCCAGTTGGACTGGTGCAGGTTGTGCAGGTACCCTGTTCATCTGGTCCCGCATTTCATTCATTTGCCTCCTCATCTCGGCCATCTCTTCCTCCTGGGCCGTCAGAGGGGGCGGTGGCGGAACCCTCATATTCGCACAGTCCCGGTCCCAATGCCGCTGAGGGGCCCTAGTATCTTCCCGCTCGGCATGTTGGAAATGATGACCGACGGGAGTTGGTCCTCTAGCTTGCGACCCGACCGGGGTTCGGTCACTGGGACTGGGATGCGCTGCTGGTGGGGCGCTACGTCGATTATCCCGATGGGTATGTGAGCGGGATGACGCTGTGGTCGTCTCCGCGCGTGGAGTTTCTCCTGTAAAGCTGGAACCTCCTTCTTCTTCGTTTGCCATGTGCTGCATGAATTGGGCCATGTCACGCATGGCCTGGGGATTTCTCCTCAGAGATTCTGGGATCACAAAATCCCCATTAACGCGAGGATAGGATCCTCGACTGGATTGTCCCTGGGGGTTTTGACTCCCCGGGGTGTGACTCCTCCCGTGACGCTGTGAACCGTCGTTTGTATGATAGGAATTGATTCTGACCATTTCTAAAAATAAAGGTTTTTTGGATGTTTAGAAAGTGAAAACTTTTTGCAAGTTTCCCACAGACGGCGCCAATGTTGAGGGTAAGTCCCGTAGATCCGAAAGCCCAACACGAACTTTGGATATATCAGGAATGGCCCAGAATCAAGGTGTATGAGAAAATATAAGATCTGAACTAACTAAAACTCGAAAGCTCACTTGTATTAATTAATCAATCTGATTATAAGGGATTTCCCGATCGATAAGTCGGAAACTATGCCTTAATACAAGAAATAAGAGCAAATGGTGCTATTCTAGAGCTTGAGTATTGAAATGCTAACCCTTACAATGATTTGAAACCTTCTATTTATACTAATGGAGAGCATGGGCTGCCTCTTGCTGATTGGCCGTTGTTCCACCGACTTGGTCATCCATGCTTCCACTTGCTGATGTCATAGTCTGGCATTAACTGCACCTGGCCACTTGCTGGTTGACCGTTGCTCGAACGGGATGTTGGTCCATACTGAAGATGCTGTCAAATTGGCCCAAGTATAGTATATAGTCCGAACCTCGTTCGGTATGTCTTCTTATTGGACCAACCTTTATTTGGGGCCGAACCCCGTTCGGTATGTCTTCTTACTGGATCTTCTCATCATAGAGTGATGGGCCTGTTATTTGGGCCGGAAATCTTGGGCCTTCCCGATCTGGGTATTGGGCCTCTAGATCAATATCCCAACAACATGTTAAACTTTTTTGGAAGTTTGACATGAGGGGATATTTTTTTGATTAATTCGGAAAAACTTTTTAATTAAAACAGTTAAAACATTTTTTTTATTAAAACAGTGTTTTTTAATAATCTAATATTCTATATTAAATTTGAGAAAACAGTTTTTAATGTCTAACTTAATATTTATAATTAACATGTTAAATTTTTTTGGAAGTTTAACATGAGGGGGTATTTATTTAATTAATTCAGGAATATAATATAAACTATATCTATTCAAAAATAATATTGATGCATATAATGTAACACATAAGTCCGAAAAATAAAGTTTGAATAATCATGCATGGTGTTTAACCTACAATTAAATCTTATTTAGGCATACATATTAATTAAACTTATACACAACAAATATAGGCCTGCCAATTAAACATATATACAAGCTAAATCATGTTATATTGACCATATAGAACATGTAATAAACTGAATAATATTAACATGTATTTCGAAAAACATGTGTTTAATAACATGTATACAAAAATGAATTAATAACATGTATACATGTTTTGTGTAGCAATATGAATCCGAAATATAATTTAACTAAATCAATTGGAGCATATTAACTAAATCATATTACACAATTTGAGAATAATGGGAACACACTTATAATAACATGCATTTTTGGAATAAAAATCAAATACTAAAAATAAGAATTAAAAGTAAATAAAATTTAGAACACATAACCTTGATGAAGAGGACGGTGAAGAGCGACGGATGTAGCTAACGGAGAGAGGCGGCCGACAGTGGCAGTAGACGGTGGCAGCGGACGGCGGCAGCGGATGGTGGAAGACGGCGTTAGAGGTCGAGGTCGGCGGAGTGTAGAAGAAGTAAAGGGAGAAAGAGTTAGGGTTTTGTTTGGGAGAGAGGCGGCCGACGGTGGCAGTAGACGGTGGCAGCGGACGGCGGCAGCGGACGGTGGAAGGCGGCGTTAGATGTCGAGGTCGGCGAAGTGTAGAAGGAGTAAAGGGAGAAAGAGTTAGGGTTAATTGTTTGGGAGAGCGTTCGGAATGAATAAAGTTGCTAAGTGTTGAATTTATATCAGGTCATGGTCACTGACGTAGTCACGGATACGTCCGTGACTAGCCACCGTAATTAACGAAGTCAGACACGCGGAAGACGAGGTGTCAGGGACGCCTTTGACCGCCTTAGTCACGGACGAATCCGTGACTAGGGCCATGACTAATTCAAAAATTTGAATTAGTCACGGTCCTAGTCACAGATCCGTCTGTGACTAATTACTTTCCAGCCGTTTTGTCAGCTCCTCGGGCAGGCCGACGATAGTGGGGAATAAATTCAGAAAATTATATTCGATTATTCGGTATAAATAGGTGATGCCCGGTCCAATGTTTGTGTGGAAAATAAAATGGCTAATCGAGAATCAATTGACTGGGATTCGATGTGTAGAGCTATGAAACGACTCAAGCTAATTACACAGCTTATGGAGCCGAAAACCGTTGAAGCATATCAGAGAATCAGAGAGTTGATGGCTAGACCCCTTGAAAGTTTTGGCGACTATAAAGATGAGGAATCCGACTCACTCGGTAAGTCAAAAGCAAACAACTTGTGTCGGATGCTTCAACGTGCAGAAGAATGTTCGGAGTATATGGATCTGATCAACGAAGAAGCTGAAAGGAAAATTAACGAGTTGTTGGCTAGGCCTCTTGAAAGTTTTGATATTGATGAATAATTTTGTATTTGTTTGTTTGCTTATTATGATAAATGAATAATGTTTCGTTAGTTGATTGTGATAAAAAAATTGTGCGTTTCGTACTTATCTTTTAATAATGATGAAGAAAAAAATCAAATATTATTGGGCTACAATAATAATGAAGAAAAGAGCACAAATATTCGAACTCAAAAAATTGTAATACAACAATACAATTAGTCACTATCAGAATCATTATTTTCTACATATACAACATCTTCTTCTATATCAGAACCGTCTATCCAGTCTCCTTCTTCATGATATTGAGAATTTTGTTGTTCTTCATGCATTTCAACACTTTCGCGCTCAGATGAAGTTGTTAGGTTCGGAAGGTGCGTTTCTGACATGACTTCAACACTTCCCCCATTTGGATCACTTAGCTGAATGTGATGGTTAACCGTCTTAACAATCGGCGGAGGTTGGAAAAAATGTTGCTGAAAAGCATCTAAATCAACGTCCTTGTGTTGAGTTTGTGATACAATTTAGCTCGGACGAACAGTACATGCACACACCCAAGGATTATGTGTCCGCCTGGTTGAAGGGTATTCTGCATAATAAATCTGGACTGTTTGTTGAGCGAGTATAAAAGGCTCATTTTTCCTATACACGCGAGAGTGGTTGACGTCAATCATATTATATTTTGAATTTTTTCTCACACCACATGTTGAATCGACCCATTTGCAGCGGAACAAAACGCATGTCAACTTTTTCCCAGCAGAATACATTTCGAATTCAAGAATCTCATGCAAAACACCAAAAAAATTGGTTTCCGAGTTATCATAACCGATGGTTGGGACACATAACCCGTTGTTCACTGTTGGTCGGCCCTGTCCGTAATCGACTGTGTGATAGGTGTAACCGTTTATCACATATGACCGCCAAACTTTGGCGTAGGCACCAGGGCCCCACGATAATGATTCTAACAAAGGGTCCACAATCCCACGATTATTGATCTGTAAATTAAAACAAGATAACATTGGGTAATTATTAACAATTATTACTTAATAATATATATAATTAATGTGTGTGTATTTATATATACCTGATACTTGTACCACAATATAAAATGAGATTCCACCATTGCATCAATTTCATTGTCAGGGAATGTTGAGTACTCCGCTCTAAATTCACTGTGAAGTCAAACATGAAAATATTATTAATCAACTACCTTAATTGTATATATATTACAAATATAACTACAAATTTAACTTACTGATAAAACGGTAAGATTTCTGGACAATTAATGAGCATATAAGTATGCGCAATTTGTAATTCTTTTCCCACGATGTATCGGTTCGTCCCAGCTCTTTTACCTCTACCTGGGTAATTGAAAATGAAAACTACATTTTCGTATAAATCCTCGCCAATATTATCGTTCCGGGGAGGTCTCTTTCTTCTAGTGATGACTTCACGCTCAAAATAAAAAGATGAGAACGTTGAGATTTCTTGTTGAAGATACGCTTGACAAATTGAAGCCTCAACGTGTGCCTTGTTGGTCACTTTCTTTTTCAACTCTCCAAGAAATCTGCAATGTAAAATAAAAGTGGTACATAGATTAATGTTGTTATGAAATAAATATTCAAAGATAAATGAAATTGTGACTAACCTTTCAAATCTGTACATCCAGCGATAGAAGACGAGTCCACCATTCAAAGCCTCATACGGAAGATGTATTACAAGATGTTCCATTCCATCGAAAAGTGATGGAGGCATTATCTTTTCAAAATTACACATCAGCATGGGAACAGACTCTTCTAGTCTCCGGAGGGATGCTGCATCCAAAACGCTTGAGCATATCGACTGAAACAACAAACCGTTCTCAGTAATGTAGGACCATACGTGTTCAGGAAGCATCTCTTTCAGTGTAATTGGGAGAAGTCTTTGCATGATTACATGAGCATCGTGAGTTTTCATGCTCGACGTCGTTGCAAGTTTGTCCATGTCCACGCATCTGGACAAGTTGGAGCAGTAGCCATCTGGAAACTTCAAAGACACAAGCCATTGTAATATTGATTCCCTTTGTGCTTGTGTGACTTGGTAGACTGCTTTTGGAATATTGTTACCCTGATATTCTAGATCAACAGAAAGTTCGAGTCTGTCACACCAAATAGTCATATCTTTTCGAGATGCAAGACTGTCTTTAGTTTTGCCTTTGAAATCCATCACTGTGTTACATATATTGTCAAACACGTTCTTCTCAGTGTGCATGACATCTATATTGTGACGAATGAGAAGGTCTTTCCAATATGGTAACTCCCAAAATATACTTCTCTTTGTCCACTTATGGGTATCACAAAACCCATATGGCTTCTTATTTGATTCTTGAATAACCATAGGAATACGTCGAACCCGGTTAAAAATTGCTTCCCCGGTCAATCTCGGGGGTGGGGTGTCTCGTACCACTCTACTTCTAATGAAAGACTTTTTGTCCTTTCGATATCAGTGGTTTTCCAGGAGAAACTTGAGGTGACAATGAAAGTAGCTTGGTTTTTTACTGAAAGTTAGCCAATTGGCACCTAATTTCTCCATGCATATCGGACATCCCATAAGATCGTGTGTGCTCCACCCCGAAAGCATGGCATAGGCAGGGAAGTCGCTAATGGTCCAAATGATGGCAGCTTTCATTATAAAATTTTGATCCCTTGAAACATCATATGTTGGTGTCCCAATGGCCCAAAGTTCTTTCATCTCCACGATAAGGGGTTGGAGATAAATTAAATGTCTATCTTTTTTCCTGGATCATTGGGACCCAGACAGATTAAAGTCAAAAAGATAAAGTGACTTTTCATGCACATGTCGGGAGGGAGATTGTAAGGAGTTAACATGACCGGCCAACATGAATAGTTCTTCCCAAACCTTCCAAACGAAGCAAATCCGTCTGAACACAATCCCAGTCGCACATTTCGTGGCTCCATTGCAAACTGAGGATGACAACGGTCAAAGTGTCTCCAAGCTTCACAGTCCGAAGGGTGAGACATCATACCCTCTTTTGTTTCGTGCTCAACATGCCATGTCATGTGTTTCGCAGTAGCAGTCGAAGCGTACATCCTCTGAAGTCGTGGAGCTATTAGGAGGTAATACAGTTTAGATAATGCCGACCTATTTCGTGGTTTCTTTTTACTTTGAGGAACAGGTTTGTATCTGTTTCCACCACAGAACTTGCAGAATTCAAGTGCCTCATCATCCTTCCAGAACAACATACATCCTTCCGGGCACGCATCAATTTCTATATAAGGTAGCCCCAACTTAGACATTAATTGTTTCATGTGGTAATATGAATCGGGAGGTTATGATCACGTGGTAGCATCCCGCCTACTAACTGCAAGACTCTAGTCATGCAAGTTTCAGGGAGACTGTATTCAACTTTTATGTTCATAAACTTTGTAACGGCAGATAGCTGAGAGTATCCCTCACAATCAGCATACAAGGGTTGATCAGCTGCTTTTAAAACATCTTGAAATCTTTCAGCTAAACCTTCATCCACAAAAGGTTCATAAAATATCGGATTTTCATCCTCATGTGGTTGATACGAGGTCGGGGCTTCAGGAGGATCGTTAGATGATTGTGGGGGGTTGAACTGAGACATCGATGCACTGTATGCGTCATATACCATACGTTGCTCCTATCTCATTTCAGCAGGGTCTCCCCACACACTCATCTCTGCAGGGACGTTACGAGACGAACCTACCGTTTGCGGTAAAACAGATGGATCCAAAGGTTCGCCATGAGAAGTCCAATTATAATAATTGGGAACGAAACCGTCCGCGTACAAATCCCACCCAACTTCGTCTGGGTGTTTAAATTTGAGATTTTTACACTTTGAACATGGACATCTGATTTTATCACCACTCATATAAGTCGGGTGTTCAAGTGCGAATTTAATAAACTCCTCAACTCCTTCAAGAAAATTTGATTGCATTCCGCACAATACCGCATGTTTGTCATACATCCAAATTCTATTTTGTCTATACATTATGCCTGAATATTATAATAAAAAAATTATACAGGTTAAAAACTCTAAATTATAAACATTACCAACATATGTGGAGTATTATTAATATATTAAATTTCACTAATTAAAGTTCAATGCAATTAAATCACTAGATGAACTAATATGTTCATATTATGATTTCAATGCAATCATTTAAAATATTAACTAATAACCAATATTATGATTTCAACACTAAATACACTAAATTATTACGTTAATGGCATTAATTAATTCATAAACATTAACAATAATTTTTTATGTGTACGAACATTTATATATTAAATTTCACTAAAATTCCCTTAAAATTAACTAACGTCCAATAATTAATATTATTAAATTATAAACATGCACAATACGTTAATGACATTTGTTGAAGACTATTTATTGTGAATCAAGTTTGTCTGTCTTGTCTGTAATAAATTAGATGTTTACTATTTCTATTCTGTACTGATTAAATATATCTGTTAGAATAGTATACAATATGGGCCAAGTGTTAGGCCCATACTCGGGCAAGAAGCCTTTGTACGCATACCTGAGCCTCGCCTATAAAAGAGGGAGGAGGACTCAGGTTTGCGGTTAACTTTCGTATCTGCTCAAAATAGCCTTAGCGCTTATCATTCTTGTACGAAAGATTCACGGTATATCAGAGAAGGTTTTCACTTGATCTTTCTGTGTTCATCTTTATTGTTAATCTTTCATCTGTATGCCATTTTATACTGTTGTTATAGAAAATAGGGACAAACAACATTTAATCCACAATACTAAAATTATCAACATCTTAATCTTATTAATAATGCACATTTAACAATTCACTAAATTAAATAATATGAGCAAATCCAATAATTTGAACATATATATATATATATATATATATATATATATATATATATATATATAATAAACTCATTTAAATTAAATAATACTTAAATTTAACTAATATTATATATAATTTTTTTTTACTAATTTACGTAATTCACAATCATAAATCATCATACTTAAGTAATGTTTCAATTAACTAACCGTAATTTAAATCATTATAAATCCTAAATTAGGCTGCCTTAACAATAATTGCTAATAAAGAAATCATATAATTATATTTAACCATATATAAACTCATTTGAATTAAATAATACTTACATTTAACTAATATCATCTATAATTTAACTAATTTACGTAATTTTAATTAAATACAACTTAATTAACCCTATGTTTAAATTACACCTACGTTTAGCTAAATTTAAGGAATTTATTTCGTTAATTAATTAACAACCTTTTTTAAATGCATTTAATTTAAATTTAACTAATAATATTAATAAAAGTTTTAACTAATTTAGCTAATTAGTTAATTTAACTTAATGTGTCACTAGGATTAAACCTACGTTTAAGTAACTAATTTTTCACTAAATTAAATGAAATTGACATATATATAATCTCTCTAATTTATTACACTTAAAATGAAACAACTAATTCATACAAAAAAATACGTAATTCAAATTACATACCTTATCTGCATAAACGGGGAAAATGATATAAGATGGGTAAATTACATCCTTCAATTCTATCTGGAATTCTATCTGAAATAGATTGTGTGATTTTGTTGAATGAAGTGGATACTGCATATATAAAACATGTAGTCACGGACGTAGTCACGGATGTGTCCGTGACTAAATAATTTTGTACGATTTATTGGTGCACTTTAAATTTGGAGCGGTGAAAAAATTAATTTTGTATCTTGTCACGGAATTAGTCACGGAATTATCCGTGACTAAGTTTAGTCACGGCATTAGTCACGGATTCGTCCGTGACTAATTTCAAATTTAAACCGGAGGCAAAATTGGGTTAGTCACGAATATAATCCGTGACTAACCGTAATCACGGATGTAGTCACGGACATATCCGTGACTATTATTTTAAACAATCTGTGACTAAACCATGACTATAACCGTGACGGATGTTTTTGCAGTGAAAAGAGAACCTCAATAGTATTAGTAGGAATAAAAAAAGTGAGTTTGGTCTCAAAATAAAGAAAGCTTGTGAAGTGGTGGACAGCAAACATAATCACACCAATTCAACCATTACCTTCAGCTTTCCCATTTCAAATTTCAGGTCCATAGTCTCCACAGGATTATCTCCCTTCTTCTTCCCAAACAAATTCCGTATCACGCTTAACTCGTTTCATCTCCATCTATTTCTGTGTGTCATTTAAACATTTACAAGTGTGCGTGTAAGGTCGATAGTTTTTATGGTACAGGTCGTTTAAAGAAAAATCAATTTTGACTATGCGTACATAACAGATAGTTCACACAAATACATACGGAGTATATAAAAACACACACAATGCTTACATGCATTCCTCGTTCAAAGCAATCCACTGCGGATTCGGAAAAATCAAATCCAAATGCCGCACCACATAGCAAACCAGCCGTGAAAAATCTTACTTCTCAGGTGAAAATCTCTATAAACATGGTTAAGTTCTGGGCCTTACTGCGTAAGTTTCAGGATCGAGACCGGTCCCCTTCCACGCTATGTCGATATCGTTTAACAGCGTGATAATAATGATATGTAGATAAAGGATATGGCTCTCAAGGCGTCAGGGGCGTATAAGAACTGTAATTCGTGTACAAGTCAGCCGACTTTGAGTCAGAACGCGAGCGGGAATGGTGCGGCAGACCTGGCGGCGCCGGACAAGTTCCGGTGGTCGTACCGGCGGACGGGAAGCTTCAGCTCTAACTCAACGTCGGGAAGAAAGGAATTGGAGGCCAGGCTGAAGGGGATATCGAGCGGAGAGGTGACGCCGACGTCTATATCGGCGTCGGCAAGTGGCCGGCGAGCTGACCCTGTCGTGCTCGTGGAGGAGAAGGAGCCCATGGAGTGGGTGGCGCAGGTGGAACCCGGCGTTTTAATCACCTTCGTTTCCCTGCCACGTGGCGGCAATGATCTCAAGAGGATACGTTTCAGGTTTTCTTTCTCCCTAAAATGTCATCTATATTATTAATAGAATTTTACTGAATAATAAAAATATAACTAGTTTTTTGAACAAAAATATGATCACGCATCGTATTAATTACTAGACAAAAATCAATATAGTCTATTTAAAAGTGATAAGTCACATGCAGATCATGAGTTATTCACAACTATCACTGAATATTGTCGTTTTTTGAAAAATATTAAAATAAGTATATTATTATTTAATTTAATTTCGGATGTTTTTATTTGGATTCTTTTCGGTCCTTCACAAGATCAGATCAGACCAGATATGAACAGGAATATTACTTTCCCACATTATATGGTCCTCCTCTTCTTTCTCCTTCTTCATGTATGAAGAATTGAAGGAGCACCAATGGGGGTTTTGGTTTTAGAGGCAACGATAGATCGACTTTGTAGGACTCCAACGAAAAAGAGGAAACTTCAATGACAACAAATGCATTTTGTAGCCAAGTGTCAGGGTTTTAAAAATTTTTGTATTTTCATTGAAAACGCCGTATAATTTGATCTTTTCGGTCCTTCACAAGATCAGATCAGACCAGATATGAACAGACCAGATCAGATCAGACTAGACTTAAACGGACCGGATCTGATCGGACATGACTTTCATAATTATAAAATATACAAAGATCAGACATTTGACAAACCATTACTCATCAAATTAGATCAGACCAGCAAATTTAAGTTCAAGTAAAATCATTCTTAGCCCTCCCTAATATTTATGGATAAAGGTCTCATAGCCCCCTCTATCACTATTGTGATTAGTTTTGTGAAAATAATTCAATGCACATACCATTCAAAACATCACAAAAAATACATAGCCTATTGACATATAATCGTCGCTGATTTTTTTGATCTTTAGATGTTCTTATTTGGATGAAGTCTTTTTGTCAAGTCTGATGTGCATATATGATCTGATCATTTATGGTCTCATAAATATTCCGACTTTATGTATTTTATAAATGTCCAAGTATGGTTTGATCTGAGATTGAAATAAGCCTAAATAAAAATATCATTTTTATTGGTTCATTAAATTATTGACAATAAGAATTAAAAGTTAAGAATATAACAATACAACATCATAAAAAGGTATAACCAGACAATTTATCAAAATAAAAGAGTAGATTAGGTTATAGCTTGTTATAGTCTCCCCGGCTTAATTATTGGCTTTGTTATTTTACAATTCATCTTTGTAATACTTCGTATTTGTCACGATGAGTTCTTTTTATTCTTTGATTTCCTTTTTAAATGTTTATTATAATTCGATTTAATTTGTGGTTAATTTTGTAAACTTATACGGAGTATTAGTGATCTATATGTCAGAATGTTTTTAATTGGACTAATTTCGGTCCAAAATATTTGAGATCATATGAGATCATACTACATCAGTTCAATCAGACTTTGACAATACAATACAAAAATGATATACATCCACCTCACCAGAACAATAGTATAGATTAGGTGATATCGTACTAGATTTAAACAGGCTAGACTAAACTTAAGCAAATCAGATCAAACTTAAGCAAATCAGATCAAACTTAAACATAACATACCATTATAAATCAGATCATACTATACCAAACTTAAGTAGATGATAGACATATTGGTTGTAAATGGGACTGAATAAGACCCCGTAAGCTGTCATAAGACTGCTTTTATTTTTTTTTAATCCTAAATAGGACTCAATTTCAAAATTATTCCAACTTTACCCTTAATGATGGTACGCTGCTCCACTCATGCCCAAACGCTATCTCCCTATCCAATCCACTGATATCCCAATGGCCAAAACCCCACGTCCCTCTTCGTTTCTTCCCCCATACGCACAACAACAACCACCTAGAAGCCCACCAAATCTTCTTCTTCCTTCCCTACATCTCACCTTCTCCTTCCCTGCACATCTTCTTCCTACCCCTTCACACAACAACAACCAGACCTAGAAGCCCAACCATAGTCATTGTCGACGCAGATACGAAGTCCGCCGCCGAAGGTCTTCTTCTCTGCCGCCATCGCGGCCGAAGGTCTTCTTCTCTACCGCCGTCGCGAAGGACACCGCCACTGCCACCGGAGATAAACTTTTCTTCTCAGTAGATCTGTTTCTTCTTTGAATGTTCTGCTCCGTTTCTTTCTTCATTGTTACAAAATGCCAAATTAAATCTGAAAACGCCGTATAAATGGCATTTTTAGTCTTAAAAAATTTTGTATTTTCAATTGGAAATGCCATTAAGCTAGCATTCTGATAAAAATCTTGGCATTTACGCTGGAAACGGGCAGATCTGTAACTGAGGAGGTCAAATTTGTAGCAGTGGATGCCAGATTAGTTGCGAAAGTGGCATTCTCGGTAGATCTGCTTCTTCTCTGAATGTTCTCCTCCGTTTCTTCTTTCATTGTTACAAAATGCCAAATTAAATATGAAAATGCTGTATAAATGGCATTTTTAGTCTTAAAAATTTTTGTATTTTCATTTGGAAATGCCATTAAGATGGCATTATGATAAAAATCTTAGCATTTACACTAGAAACGGGCAGATTTGTAATTAAGGAGGTCAGATTTGTAGCAGCGAATGCCACATTAGTTGCGAAAGTGGCTGGATCTGAAGGGACGACGGCTGACGACCAACAGAGGCTCAATCCGGCGACGCCCTCCAGATCTGCAACGGCGGTGGGCTGATCTGCGATGGCGGCTCGTTTTTGAGGTTGTCGACGACCAACGGTGAATGGCGGCGACCGGCGGTGACTGACGAATGGCTGTTGTCCAGTGTTGTGGTATGCGGGAGTATGACTTATAAGCTTCAGGGGTGTTTTTGTCTGATTACAAATAATAACTCTTATTTGAGGAATTTTTAAACTTTGGTTCTTTGCAATTAAAGACTAATTTACTCCTATTTAGGTAAATACCTCCTATTTAGGTAAATACCTCTAGATGATATCATACCACAGCAGATGTAAACTTAAGATAGATCATATCATACCATAGCTGATAAAAAAAATACAATTTAATCAAAAACGTTCTTAATCTAAAAGTGTTGGCCCTAACTTTAGTTATGACTCGTATATGAAATAATGAAAAATAAATTGGATGTATGGAACAAAAAAACAAGGATGTGATGTACCACTCAAAATGGATAATAATACAAGGATTACAAGCAGCAAATAGTGAATAGTTCATTTTAGAATTAAAAAAAAATTAAGAAGTATATTCCGTAAGCAATCCCTCATTGTATCCGTGCCCTGTCGTTATTCAATTGAAATTGTGACTAGCCACATTAAAATAGCAATCCTATTCCAATTTGTGGTCAACCCAACATTAAAAGACTAAATGATCGCGTTGTCGTGCATACTCCATACACAAAGTAATAATGGTGATCATTACCAAAAAAAAGCGTGATGATAAAAGTAAATTACATATTCGATGCTGCACCCAAATCAACCACTTGCCTCATCTGCCAGAGGGATTTTTTTTTATCATGCCCGAGCGTGACTATTGCGTTTCTTTTTCCATTTTTAATTTTTATATTCTTTTTTCAGATAATTATATTGAAATTATAACAGGAATATTACTTTCCCACATTATATGGTCCTCCTCTTCTTTCTCCTTCTTCATGTATGAAGAATTGAAGGAGCACCAATGGGGGTTTTGGTTTTAGAGGCAACGATAGATCGACTTTGTAGGACTCCAACGAAAAAGAGGAAACTTCAATGACAACAAATGCATTTTGTAGCCAAGTGTCAGGGTTTTAAATAGTGGTAGCGGTAACGGTCATAGCGGTAGTGGCTAATGCGGTCGCTGCGACGCGATAGCGGCTGCTACGGCGTGAAATATTTTCAAGCTTCATGATCTGCTTAAACTTGGAAGTGTACAAGTGCCAATGTAGTAATAAAATTCGATAAAAATACCGGGTCGAACACGAGGAAACGTTGTTTATATGATTCAAATTCGGAAAGAGTTTTAGTAAAAGACTTAGCAAAAGAGTAGAGATTTTTAGTTTTCAAAGGATAATAAAAGCAACCAAGGGTTCGGGATTACTCCAAAATGACTCCTAGTAATAGATATATGTTCTTTCACCAATTCTTATGAGTGGAATGTCACTAAAGTATTCTAACTCCTGTTACGACAACAAGATTGTGATTAATTCTACGTGTGAATCCCGTCACGGTTCACATTCATCTAAAATTAATCCTATTGAATATTAGGACATTATAAAACCCACCATATTCAATTGAGGTATATTTCTATCCACAATTAGAATATGTCTAACCTTTAAGTGCACAGTTTATAACTCAACGTTAATTGCTCAAATAAACCCAACGATATAATCATACGTTGTACACCGTAATCATACACATTAAAATATAAAGGAAGAATCATAATAACTTGGTTGAGAACTTACATCAAACACCTAGAGTGCGTAAAGTTTCATCCCTAACCTTGGTTATGGAAAATTAGCTAGAACAATTCATAATGAAATTACAAGTATTGAAATGATAAAATAAAATGAAATACATAAAGAAAATGGTACCACAACTCCAAAGCTATGGTAGACAATGGTTTCCCCAATTGAAGAACTTCTCCCAAGACCAAGGGGTTGCTCTTGAGATGCCAAAGTAGAAGTGTATTGTGTAGAATATGGAGTGAATTGTTGAGAGGGCTTCAAAACACTTAAATATTGAGTCCTCAACGGCCATTTTTGGACAAGGAAGCAAACTCCTTAATGGTATTTGGTGTTTTCCCTTAATGATTGTGATGACCGTTGATGATATAATCTTTTAAAGGCGAAAGCCGAGCGGGATTTGTGAAAGCCGAGCGGCTTTCGCGTTTTAAAAATAAGTGTACTCGCTCCAGGGGTCGAAAACCGGATGGCTTCTGTCAAAAGCCGGGCGGCTTTTGGCTCGATTTATTGTTTTAATTCTCTGGCGCCCAAAGCCGGGGCGCCTTTCACGAAAGCCGGGCGACTTTCGTCTTATTTTGCTCCGGACCCTTTTCTT